TTTTTTTTTCTTTTTTCATGTTTCTCAAGATTATCTCTTGAGTTTTATGTTGATTAGAATTAGTTTTTCCTAATTGATCTTACAATAGCCAATTGAGCTATCATAAGCAAAGCAATGGCTTTAGCTATGAAAAAAAATAAAGCTCTCCTCCGTTGCACTTGTCCTACACAAATGAAGCCATCTAACTTTTTTCTAACCATAACTAATGTTGTGACATCACTATATGGGAGATAAGCATCAAAATTAAACTTTAAGATGCCACTTGCAAAGGTATCCAAGCACTTCTTCCCACAAGACCACAATGCTTCTTAGAAACTAGATATTTTGTTCTTTACATTCTCATTGCAAGAGGTTGGAGGGGATGTTGCATACTGGGCAAGCAATATTCTTGTAATATACAATTTGCACACTTCAAGACTTGCATAGAATAGACATCTAAGTATTCCACTTACCTCTCATTTCTAGCCTTTCAAATATACCAACAGATAATGGCCACATAATCCATTAATGACTGATTAAAAGGGTTTATAAAATAACTACTCAAATTAATTCACCAACTAATGGAAGAATCTTGCCTCATTTGATCTAGATATCCCCAAAAGTAAATGCAAATCATATAGGTTTAGCATGAGGACATCGAATAAGCACATGCATTAAATCTTCTTCCTCCATACAACAACTACTGCACATATATGAAGTTATATTCCATTTTTGCAAAGAGGTAAATAATAGATAAGGAAGCCAACATAACCCTCCATCGAGAAAATTTTACTTTAGAAGGGATTTGCATCTTTCATATACTTTTTCAAAAGTTTTGGGAAATTCCACTAGATCTCCCATTCTTTTGCCCCATTAAATGAGTATATGTAAGAACATGCAGTTTTAACTAAAAATTGGCTATCATTGGTAAAATGCCATACCAATTAGTCATTAGATGCCCCTGTTGGGATCCTTTGTATTTCCCTACGCTCAATATTAATGAAAAAATTCTACAATTGCTACATATCCCATCCCCCATTAGCATCCAATAATTTGCATTTGAAGGTAAAAAGAGTTAGGATGGAAGGGAATATTACCCTAAAATTTGGTAAAGTAGGTAAATAATCACTCTCTTAAACAAGGATGAGATACCCATTACTTACATTCCATTATAGCCCTGCTTAAAGGCTATGTCTACCTTTCAAAATATTGCTCCAAACCCATGAAGGTTGTCCCTTATTTTAGCAAGAAAAAAATATGTATCTAGAACATATTTACTTTTCAAAATTTTAACCCACAAAGCATTGAGATTTTGAATAGTTCTCCATGCTTGTCGAGCTAGCATTGCAAGATTAAAACATATTAAATCCTTAAAACCCATGCCTCGATGAATCTTAATTTTTGTCATTTGTCTCCAATTCACCTAGTAAATTCTTCTCTCTTTTGACTTTTGGCCCAACAAAAATTGTGAACCTATCTATTTATTTCTTCACAAACATTAATTGGGAATTTGAAACATGACATAGTATAACTTTGGATTGCCATAGTCACAACCTTTATAAGAATTTCATGCTCCACTTGTGAAAGGAGGAAATGCTTTTACTGTTGGAGCTTCTATTGCATTGTCTACCACTAAGTGTAAACTTTCCTCCTTAAAACAACACTAAGAAGTTGAAAGTCTTAAATACTTTGTTACTAAAGTATCATGGTGAATTCCTAACTAGGTGCAAGTTGTAACCCTCTAATCTAATGGCTTATTAGAAATAAAGGCCATTCTTTATTTAGCAAATTCACAGCTTGCCCAAAAACTTCTCTATATTTACACAAAAGTGATAGAGAGCTGCTAATTTGACTTTTGAAGCTTGACGAAAGACTAGTGAATCATCAGCAAAAAGAAGATGACTAAAAATAGGGTTTTAATGTTTTATTCAAATTCCAATAATTCTTCTCTCTTAAATTGCTAGAAATAAGACAAGAAAGTACATCAACCACATAAAGATCAAGATATGGTGATAACAGGTCATCTTGTCACAATCCTCTTTGAAGGCAAAAATAAGGCCTTTACTTTCCATTAACGATAATTGAATAAAAGACAAAAGTAATGCATTGCATAACCAAATGCACCTACTTGTCACAAAAACCATGAGCTTTACGTAATTGCTCCAAGCACTCCCAACTTACACAATCATATGCTTTTTGAATAACAAGTTTTAAAGCTAAATCGTTAACACCTATTTTCTTCTATTTTAACGCATAAAACACTTAATGTGTTATCAAAATATTATGTTGAATAACTCTTCTTGGAATGAAAGCAGACTGAAAATGAGAAATTAAACAGTTTAAATGTTGTTTAAGCCTACTAGTCATAAGTTTTGAAATAATTTTATAAGCTACAAAGAGCAATTGACCTAACTTACAACAAAACTCTTGGGATTTTAACTTTAAGAATAAGCATAATGTGAGTTCTATTTAGTTCATGTAACATATAACCTCTTGGGAAACCATTTGGCCTTGGTGCTTTAAAAGCACCTAATTGACACGCTGCAATACATACCTCCTCTATAAAAACCTTAGAATAAAATTCTTCATTCATGTGGTCAGTTACCAATGGTACAATAAAGAGGTAAGCAAATCAATCCCATTAGACAAATATCGACTATAAAGCCATTGCCTTCAATCCAATGTCCTAAGGCATTTTGTAATTTAAAAATATAGTTATTTTGTCGTCAATTAGAGGCCATTGCATGAAAATAACGAGAATTCTTATCACCAAAATGTATCCAATTTACCCAAGCATGTTGAAACCAATGATCCTCATCCTTTGCCCAGAGTTTGTCTAGTTGTAACAAAATTTCAAACAATGGTTCCTAATTGGTTGGGTTGACTGCTGACTTTAAATATTAGCAAGTTCATCTTATAACATCTTAATCAATTCTCAACAACTGCTTTTATGCCCCTTATTCCACCTACATGAAATGATCTTAGATGCAAGAGGTAATAAAGGCAAGCTTCCGTGAGAAACAGACCATCTCTAATGAATGGTAGAAGAATAATCCTCTTTTAACTGCCACTTTATCTCATATTAAAAGTACTTCTTCAGGATTTTCTGAATAGCCTCCAATTGTAACCATAAAGGGCATGAACAGAGCCAATGTGATTCATGTGAAACAATTGGGCTTGATTCATTATTTCAAATTGTCTTCTCTTCAATTTAAATTTAAACTAATGTTTTAAATTATTTTCCACCCACTATCCTCATCTCTCCAAAGAATAACTCATTATATATATATATATATATATATATTGTGATCAAGCCTACTGGAACTAGCAACTCATTATTATTTCAATTCTTTTTCACTAATTTTCACCAATCTGTTTTATGATAAATCAATCATTATCCTCAGTGTTCTCAATCTTGTTAGTTAATTCAATTAAAACTTGAATTTTCATTTCTTTTATATTAAAATCTTAGATTTATATTAATATCTTAGATTCATATTATCATTTTTTCCTATTAATTTCAACTTGAATTTCAATAATTATCTTTTAAATTTATTTTCATAAATTCATTTATATTTAGATAAATATTTGATAAATTAAGATTGCTACGTTTATATATTTATTTAAGAGTTTTAGTACTTACTGGATCTATAACTTTCAATACTTTTTTTTTAGAGTTTTCTTTGTTTCAATTATTACTATTTATGAAATAACTATTTTAGCAATCAAACTTTCATTAGATTATGAAGTGCTGATTCTCCCAACAAACATGAAAGTGAATGTGGTTTAGATTTGGTTAGCATTGATAAGAAGATAAACTCTTAATATTATTCTTAATTTTTTTTATTACCTCCACCAATTTGTGTTCATCTTCTTCTATGCCTCTAAAAATTACCTTATTTCTTAACTCCCACCGATGCAAATGACTAAGATAAACAAAAAAGATCACACAACTTTTGTTCTTTAATACTACCGCCCTTAGTGATTTGTCGAAAAGCCTCCATCTAACTTTTGCCCTTTACTTATTTTTTATTTTTGACATTTTATATGCACTGATATTTTAAATTAAACCATTAAATTTGCAAAACTTGTATCTAATGTGAATGCTCATTTTTCTCTAGAAAAAAGGTTTGTTTTTAAAAATTTTATAGTTTATTA